CTTTTCCCCAGGGTAGGGGAGTCCAAAACTAGAGGGGCATAGGTTTACAAGTGAGAGGGGAAAGATTTAAAAGGGACCTGAGGGGCAGCTTTTTCACGCAGAGGGTGGTGTGTGTATGGAATGAGCTGCCAGAGGAAGTGGTGGAGGCTGGTACAATTACAACATTTAAAAGGCATCTGGATGAGGAAATGAATAGGAAGGGTTTAGAGGGATATGGGCCAAATGCTGACAAATGGGACCAGATTAATTTAGGATATCTGGTCAGCATGGACAGGTTGGGCCAAAGAGTCTGTTTCTGTGCTGTACAGCTCTATGCCTCTCTCCTCTAAGACCTATCACTTCGCCGAGCTTTCGTTTGCCTGTCTGTGATATCTCCTGGAGTGGGGCGAGTTCAGACGTTCTCTCTGTGCTCAATCTCCTGACTTCCCTTGTCTCTCTGCAGTGTTTCTGTTTATGTGCCCACCCAATGCCCAAATTGAACTTACCTCCAACACATCCCTAGGCAGCATGTTCCAGACCCGAACCATTCGCTGCGTGAAAAGTTTATTTTCACCTCACTCCTTTTGTAAATCTTTGTGAATTTGTGCCGTCTGCATATTGATCGATTTCCAAGCGGGAACAGCTCCTCCCTATCGACTCTGTCCAGCCCCCGCTCACAGTTTTGAATCTCCCTCTCTCTCAGCCTCCTTCTCCCCAAGGAGAACAGTCCTCAACTTCTTCAATCTGTCCTCAGCACGGAGCTTTCTCATCCTGGAATCGTTCTTATAAATCGCTCCTGCTCTCTCTCTCTCTTTCTCTCTCTCCCCGCAATGCGTTCCCACCTTCCCGATAATGTGGGGCCCACAACTGGACACAATACTCTAACAAGGCTCTTGTATAAGTTCACCATCTCCCCCCTACTCCTGTACTCCGTGCCCCTGTGAATAAAGCCGAGGGCACTGTGTGCTTTATTCACTGCTCTCTCTCCACCCCCGCCCCTGTCCTGCCACCTTCAATGATCTGGGCACATCTACCCCCCAGCCCCCTCTGATCCTGCCGCACCCCCTTTAGAATTGGAACCCTTATTTAATATTGGCTTCCAACGTTCTTCCAACCAAAGTACATCTCCTCACACCTCTCTGCATTAAATATTATCTGCCCCTTCTCTGCCCCTCTCCACCGACTTGTCAATGTCCTTTTGGAGTTCCGCGCTGTCCCGCTCACAAGTTTCGTGTTATCTGCAAGCTCTGAGGCTGTCGCCTGCACAGCAAGATCCCGATCATTAATATATCTCGGGAAAAGTGAGGGTGCCGATACTGATTCCTGAAGAACCCCACAACAAGCATTCCCCGAGTCTGAGAAATTGCCATTGACTGCTAGCTATCTGTTTCCCGTCCCTCAGCTGATTTCGCATCCTCATCCTCTTGGATCTGTCATGTGGCACTGAATTGGACTCCTTCCGGGGACCCATGTAGACTACACCAACAGCAGTACCCTCACCGACCCTCTCTGTTAGCTTGTCACAAACATCCAACCAAATAAACACTACTTTTGCCCCTAATCTGTTTTATAACCTAAGATTTGTAACTAGGTAGGCTGTATCTATGGTGGTGCTGTGTGTGGGGACACTATGCACTTTTCACTGCACTCCTGTACTTCAGTACATGCAACGATAAAACCTAATACTATTTTCACTGAACAATTCAATGCTGACTCTTGCGAGTCAATCTACGTTTTTCCAAGTGACTTATTAATTCTATCCTGAATAACTGCTTTGAGAGGTTTCCCCATGGCCGAAATGAAACAGACTGCTCTGTCATTGCTGGGCTTATCCTTATGACCTTTAGAACATAGAACAGTACAGCATAGGAACAGGCCATTCGGGCGATTATGCCGTGCCGAACATTATGCCAAATTAAACGAAATCCCTTCTGCCTGCCCTTGGTCCACATCCCTCCATTCCTTGCATATTCACGTGCTTATCTAAAAGTCCCTTAAATGCCCCCATCAAAGCTGCTTCCACCACCCACCCCCTGGTACTGCATTCCTCACTCCTACCACCCTCAGTGTAAAAAAACTTGCCCCTCACTTCTCCTTTGAACTTTACCCCTCTCACAGCATAGTATTAGATGTTTCAACTCTGTGAGAAAAAGATTCTGACTGTCAACCCTAACTGTGCATCTCATGATTTTATTGACTTGCATCAAGTCTCCCCTCAGCCTCTGCCGCTCCAGAGAAAACAACCTGAGTTTTTCTAGCCTCTCCTTTTGGTTCATACTGTCTAATCCAGGCAGCATCCTGTCTTACAAAGCTGTAACATGAACATCCTGACTCTTGTACTCAGACCAAAAAAGACAAGCATGCCATACGCCTTCTTTCTCGAACAAGGCAATTCTCCAGGCACCCCCACCAGCACCAGCCCTGGGTCCAGGGACCACTCAAAGTGCCCCTGTGCATTCAACCACCATTTCCCTCAATAAACTTGGATGCATCTCTCCACTGCAACAGATTATCTAGCACCACCCGCTCATCAGTTCTGAACCCCTCTAGTGTCTAACTGTGCTCCTCTGTCACCAGGGCCTGGCCAGCATCTGGCTCAGAGGGAAAGATGGATACAAAGGATTAACTTCACACCTCAGCCATGCACCCCCGCCTCCATGTGTAGAGCAGACTCGACCCTACCCCTCCTTTCACTGCTATTTCCCTGTTCGACAGCTGCAATCAATACAGCCTCAGGTAAAATGCAATCGGCACTTCTGTGACAGTCGAGGGAGCTTTACTCTGTATCTAACCCTGTGCTGTCCTTGCCCTGGGAGTGTTTGATGGGGGGAGACAGTGTAGAGAGAGCTTTACTCTGTATCTAACCC